TTCTTTGCCATCATTTAGAAATCTGTGATCTCCTAGATATCTCTTTGGCTGTTCACAACAAGAAAGACACTGACTGTTCCCAACTAGCCCTCATTTGCAAAACTCTCAACACAGTGAGCAATATTAAATGTGATTCTATGGTTGGACATTGCAAACACAAATTTCAGCATAACCTCACGAACGGTCACAATGTTGAGATCCATATGCACCAATAATCCTGTTATTGCCAGTCCACTCTTCCTCTACACCAGGTAAAGTGCTTGTGGTTTCTATGCAGAATTGCCATAGACACATTTTATTATCGATATACCAGTGAAAGGGATGATGTCCCACTGTAAGCAGTTAAATGTGTGGTTGAATTCCAAACATACAGGAACTAAATTCTTTTCCAAGCTGGATGGTAAACACAGATTCACATGGGCTTTTTTTAGGCAATCACTACTTTCAGAATTCAATTTGGAAGATGATGTTTCCAGAAACTACCTTCTGGTCTGTTAGTCAAGATTTTACTGCTACATAATTGTGTGTGTGTGAAGAATTACACCAGGTTTGGATTGTCAGTTGAGCTAGCAAGTGTGGCTCACTTGCATGTACTGGAAGCTAGATATATAATTATACACAGTTATGTTCTTTTCAGATAGAACATGTAAGGAAACTGCACCTATTTCAACTCAAAAAAACAGGTGACAGATATCCTTTGATTCATTTCACAAGACAATGCCTTGACCAATGAACAGGTTACAATTTAAACACATCTTGTTATTTAACTTTCAATCACTGTTAACAGGTACATTGTTAGATTCTATTTGCTAACCAATAGCATTCTCCTTTCCTACAGCATAAAGCCTGTTTCCCCCTTGGTATTTCTTGTGAACAGTCCAGGAGTGCAAGACGAAAAACATCGGTAAGAAAATTCTTTTCAGCAATACTTAAGTTCTACCCTACCAAAAGACTATTAGTTTACCAGGTAGTACCTTGTTGAAAGTCTTTTAAAAATGTAAATAAGTTACCCTTGCCTAGACTTTCTATTATTACTTCAAGAAAATCAATAAAGTCAGTCAGACATGATATTCCTTTTTGGAATCTGTGTTGACTATTCTTACCGTATTTTTGATTTCTAGATTTTGTTTTCATTTTTATCTAATCATTTCATCGGCCTACCACCTCAAGTAGTCTATTAATCCCTGGACTTATTCTAACTTTTTATGTATAGAAACCACATTAACAGACCACCAGTCATCTGAAATTATTTTTTCCCAATGAATGTTCTTTATATTTAACAGCATGTCCACTTTCTTTTCCTCAACCTCTTTTAATAGACCTGACAGCAATCCATCCAATCATCTCCAACTTTGATTGGTTCACTAGTTATCTCTCATGTTTCTACCTTAAATGTCTTATCTTTTCTGATCACTTCATCCAATGCCACATCTATCTTATATAAAATAATATTAACACGGAGCTCCAATAACAAAACAAAAACCTGTTGTGTGTAATCACTTTTGAAGTAGTTGTAATAATTTGATTTAGGTGAGGTGGGAAATTGAAGAAGATACAATAGAAACATTTTTACATACACCAACCGCATTAAGTACATTTGGCCATAATCTGGGTGACTATTAAAGGAAAATTACAGACTTCGAAAAGGAAAATTCCAATACACTTTTTCTTGAAGAAAATTGGGGAGATAAAACCTTTTTCCGAATATTTCCTCACTTTAGTACTCCAAATCTACCTAAAAATGTGTAGCCATTGAAAGCACAATCCACATATTACACTCAAACTTCTTTTGAAAAGATTCTCTCTGTGCACAACTGACAATAAATTAGTTGGGCAGGGGGCTGCTCCTGCAGCTTTCAACTACATCTTGTAGTAAAGAACTATATCTTTACAATCCATGAAATATGTATAAATTGGGCATATTCAACTACAATTTGTGTTTTATTAAAGGCATTATAGAAATATTCTGTGGTACTACATGAGCTTTATCAAACAAATTTTGTCAGCAATAAGGAGCTATTTGGTCAGGTTGTCAAAAACTTGCCTTCAGCTCTCCAGTGACCAGCAGTGACAAAATAATTGCAAAGAAGGTCTGAGTAGCAATAAAGATTAAAATAAAGAAATACTTGAGATGAGACTGTCTATTCTGTGCAAGACACTCATAGTTTTATTAATTGTAATTTGGTGTCGCCTTAAAAGTACTGGAGTTTTATAGAGTCATACAGCATGGAAACAGAACACTTCGGTCCAACCAGTCCATGCCAAACATAATCCCAAACACAACTAGTCCCATCTAGTAGCCCATATCCCTCCAAACCTGTCCTATTCATAAACTTATCTAAGTGTCTTTTAAACATTGTAATGGTGACCAATTCCACTACTTCCTCAGGAAGTTCATTCCACATGCGAACTACCCTCTATGTAAAAAAATTGTCCCTCATGTCTTTTTTAGATCTCTCTCCTCTCATCTTAAAAATATGCCCCCTAGTCTTGAAATCCCCCATCCTAGGGAAAAGATTCCTATTTAACCCAATCTCAACCCCTCATGATTTTATGCACCTCTATAAGATCACCTCGCAACCTCCTTTGCTCCAGTGGAAAAGGTCCCAGCCTATCAGCCTTTCTTTATAACTCAACCCTTCCATACTGGCAACATCCTGATAAATCTCTTCTGAACCTACTCCAGCTTAATAATGTCCTTTCTATAACAGGGCAACCAGAACTGGACACAGTACTCCAGAAGAGGCCTCACCAATGTCCTGTACAACCACAACATGACTTCCCAAATTGTATAGTCAAGGGACTCAGCAATGAAGGCAAGTGTGCTAAATGCCTTTTTAACCATCCTGCAAAGTACAAAGAATCATGTACCTGAAAACTTGCACTAGAAAGTAATATTGCAAGCCAATGTAACAATGATAGATAAAAATTACTTACACAGGATACAGAAGAGTCTGTTCACCCCTGCAAACTGACCTGTAAATAGCAGATAAAGTAAGGAGAAAGAGAAAGAGCCCAAAGAGTAAGTAATGTGATCATTCAAGGTAATAACGGTGTTTTTAAAGATGAGATGTGTGAATAAAATCTGAAACTTCAAATTAAGAAAATGTGAAAAGGAAAAGAATGTGCCGTGCAGTATCTAGCAGTGAACTCCAAACATTGTAAACATGGTGAAGCAGGATTCGAGTTAAAAGGAAATTTAAAATATCAAGCATGATTGTTGTTACTATGCCTCTTCTCCTACAGGGATATTATTTGAAAGCAAAAGGAAGTCAAATGAGAACTTATCTAAAAAGGTTAAGTTAAATTTCTTTGAGCTTAGCATATTATTACAATTCAATCTATTTTAACAATAAAGATAAAGCTTTTATTGAAATAATGCAGGATCTGCATTTGAGAAGTGCTTGCTTCCACTGGTCTTCCACCTTCAGAATCTGTAAGCAGAGCATGTCAATAACCATACTCATAAATCTGCCCAAATCACCACCCTAACACTGAATACTACACCCATGAGCATGAATACCAATTAAAATACAGCTCCAAGTATCTGTAAATGAGACTGCTGTAACAAATTCTATTTTCCTCTTTTACAGTAACAGCACATATTAGAGAATCAACAGGAGTAACTTTCCAGCAATTTTTTTTGGACAAGATAATATACTTGCTTAGCTGGAATAAATTGGAATTGAATGAAAAAATAGAAATTCTAAAGGAGAATATTTGGGTGATCAATTCCACCAGATTACTATTCCTGGCAATGTAGGTGGAAATGACTCACAATGACTTGCACAAAGATAAACAAAAACAGACAACCTTTAGCAGCAAGAACTCAGTTGAAGCAACTAGTTGGAGTGCTGTACAGCAGATTAAAGGGGGTTCTCCTTATTTGTATGAAAATTGGGGTTTCAGTAGAAGAAGATAGAATATCACTTTCACATTGAATAATTGTGCAGTGTCATTAGGCATCATATAAATATTGTTGCATAGTACTCGTCACTGTTAGCACTATTGCTACCAAAGATCATTTTAGGCACATTTAAGTACTATTATTGAAGGAACACTAGTATCAGCAATTTCTGGTTTCAGGCAAAACCCATTTTGTCAGATTTACTCCAAATTTGGATAGCTCTCCCATATGAATTAAATTCAATGTCCCTAACACACAGGCATTACAGTTACCATAGATTTAACATCCTACACACCAACATTGTAGAGACTATAATAGACTACAAAATATGAAGTCTTTCAAATTTCAAGCAATTCAGGTAAACATCATCATATTTTCTGCTACCGTGCTACTTCAACAAAAATGTAGTGCAAACCCCTTTGCACTTCCCAGCTATATAATGTTTTGACACACCAAAAGAATATCTGAGGAAATTAAAGGACCATTGTTTTATTACTAAAGACCAGTGTTTTTCTTATCTCACTGGCCAGGCTGGCAAGATTCCCAAACAAGATTCTTTGCAATTCTTGGTATTTGGGATGCATAAATTGGCAACTTCACTTTGAGTGACTGGAATATATTAACAATTCAAAGGATGTGCATATTTGTTGAAGATGGTTTTGATTTCCTTAACTAAATGATTTTTACCATTGTGAATATATTTTGATTGACCAGTTCCAAATTGTCAGTGGAGTTTTGCAGATACGTGACTGTGACGGATTCTTCCAGCTAAGGCCAATAAATAATGAGGCAACGAACGAACAGAATCTCCAACTCCTTAAAATGCAAAGCTACCAGAGAAACATTTCATTGAAAATGCATACTTGTGGTCAAAGCTCTCAATTCCCTCGAAGGCAACATCTACAGACCAGGTCACGTGCAACTAATTTACAGACGAGTGTGCACTCTGGGTAGAGCCTCTCTCACAGAACTGAAATTTAGTAACCATACTTTAATATATTCTGATTTATATCAGTGGTACCTTATTTTCCTGCAAAATAGTTCCCACAAAAAGTTGCACATGGTAGATGGTAGACATACTGTCCTGTCTCACCTGATAGCTCTCATCTTGCAATTTCTGCTTCAGATATTCCTCGAGCTTCAACTCCCGTTCAAGTTGATGGACAGATTCATTTTCGTAACTTTCATCATCGGTTCTAATGTATGATTCACCATCTTCTGCAACACTTTAAAAAAATAAAATTTTAATAGCAGCGTCTTTGCCTCCTTTTTTCAGCTCTGTTTATATTTATATTCTTAAATTTGTAACAGAATTCTGAAAGGAAGTCCATAATCTTCTCAGCCAAATACATGCTCTTACAATCATGACTTAGCAAGTAATAGTTAATCTTTCATAGCTGAAGTGACCCCCCATTTTTCTGAGCAGAGAAATCTGAGAGAGGACCAGATTGAACTGTGTAAGATTATGAAAGGCATGGTCAATGTGAATAGGAAGCAGCTATTCCCCTTTGTTGAAGGGTCAATAATAAGGTGCACACTTTTAAGGTGAAAAGCCTAGAGGTGATTTGTGGAAAAGGTTTTTCACCCAGAGGACGGTGTGAAACTGGAATGCACCATCTGACAGGGTAGTAGAGGCAGGAAACCTCATAATCTTTAAAAAGTATATGAACAAGCACTTGAAATGTCATAACAATCAAAGCTATGGGCCAAATGCTGAAAAGCGGGACTAGTGTAGATTTACAGCAGTTTTTTGTCAGTGTAGATTCAATAGCCGAAGGACTTTTTCTGTACTGTATGGTTCTATTATGAAATGGTTGTGCAGAGATCATCATCCCTTGTCAATAGGTGCGCAGTAAGGGGAACAGAGGGTGGAATTGGATGGTGCATATGCAGTGAAGAGGGAACTATAGCCAAGATAACTTCCAAACCAAGGGTTAAAGTATAACTTTATTACACACATCTGTGTGCCTAACATTTCAAATCTGTATTCAGTACAGAATGATAAAGGTAATAATTACTCATACTTACATGTCACTTTGAATAGTTCCTGTTGCAGCAGCACTGTGCTCATAGCTGGGGTTTCTTGCATTAATCTGAGCTAGAAAGGCCTTTTCAGAAGTTGGCGAAAGCACAATGTCATCTAAATGAGCACGACCAAAATCAGAATCCACATTGCTTTCTGTCTCACTCCCAGCCTCTGCTGAATTTAAAGCAAAACTTCCATTAGCAGTGACACAGATAGTTTTGTTCTTCTGTGTATAGTGTGTAATATGTACATGAAAGTAATGAGATGGTCTTTACTTTTATTACACTAAGCTATTAAGGCCCAACATTATATAGTAAATGGGATAGTGAAGATTGCCAATTTATGAACAGGGATATCATTTGTTATCTTTTCAACATAATGTAAGGTAAAGGACTCAAGACCTAGTAATAACTTTTAGGTGAAGTGAATTGGTGTAATAAAGCATCCTAAAAATCTGCACCCTTTCTGTGCATGAAGTGATTTGCTTCTCAAAGACAATATTTACATGTAAAAACTTTATTAATTAGCACCAAAAATTTCTTTAATCTCTCAGAAACACAAAAAGATCTTCAGTCAAAAGTATTGCATGAAGAATCCATCTTGATCTTCATGCATTTCTGAAATATTAATATAGTTGCTATTATTTTCCGCAACTGCCTATGTCGCCATTTGCTGTGGAATAGCCATTTCAGCACTAAAATTTTTCACAAACACTGGATTTTCCAACGGAAATGTGTCTTGTGTCTTTGCTTTGTAGAACAGGGAGAGGAGGAATAGAGAGGTGCTAGATTGATCAGACAGTTGGTTAGTGCAGATGACCTGCAGTTGCTGGTAGATCAATGCTCGTGTAATAATTGAGGTTTAAAGATTGTTAGGTTTTGGGATTGTCTTTAATATAACTCAAAACAAAGAGGTGTCATATGAATTGTTCTGAAGTCTGCCTGACAGGAAGCCTGGGTCATTTCATTGTTAGAAATGCTAGTATATCCAGATTGTTTTACTGAGAAAAAAGCTCCATACAGTGTGGAAACAGGCCATTTGGCCCAACAAGTCCACACCGACTCTCCAGAGAGCATCCCACCCAGATTCACCTCCTACCCTAACCCCATGGCTAATACTCTAGCCTACATAATCGCTGGACATTATGGACAATTTAGCATAGCCCAATCCACCTAACCTGCACATCTTTGGACTGTAGGAGGAAACCCACACAGACATGGGGAGAATGTGCAAACTCCACGCAAACAGTTGCCCAAGGCTGGAATTGAACTCGGGTCCCCGGTGCTGTGAGGCAGCAGTGATAACTACTGCACCACCATGCCACCCAAAGGTGCACGGTGTTTATATTTGGAGACAATGGAAGAAGTCTATGTGCTACGTGGATAGACTATGACTCACCAATGTTCCAGAAAAATGTTCAGAATGTCAGATTGCAAAAACCTGCGCTTTAAACTGTCCAAGATAAAATATGATTTCAGTTGAGAATCTCAGTTGAGATGACCAATCAGTATTCCACTTTAATTCAAGGCCCATGTGAATCACATTGCTGTGGAGATGGCCTTTTAGAGGGGAAGGATCCAACATATCCCTCGCAATTCACAGACAAGGTTAGTCCGCTAGGATCAAGGAGAGGTAGAGCAGCTATTGGCAAAAAGGCCCTGTGGTTTACCAAGTAAAAATACGAATGGGAGCACAAGGTCAGGTTGAAAATATCAAAGTTGTGAGCGGTTAAGACAAGGTTGGAAGATTTCTGCATATTGTGCTCAAAGAACAATGTCTGTGAGAAAAATACTTCATTAAACACTAGGCTGATCTTAAAAGTTATTAGGCTGAGAAAGGGAAATAAGTAAACTCCCTGGCCCTAACAGTCACTTTGAACTGGTTTTGGAAGAATGGAGTGTAAAGTTCATTTGTGCCAAAAGAAAAAGTGGAATGCTGGTTTTTTTTGTAATTTAAGTTACATGTTGCCTGCAAGGATAGTGTTAAATCAATTGTGCTTTTAGAATTGTGTTAAGTACAAGTCTTAATAGATGAAAGAATGACACAATGATTTCATATTTCATAACACTGGGTTTTTTTGTTTAGAGTAATAGAGATATACAGCATGGAAACAGACCCTTTGGTCCAACTGAAGACAGATACAAATTACAATCACTTACCTGAATTCAACTCTTTTACCAAAGATGACATCGTGTTTGTAATGGAATCTGCTGCCACCAGCAGGTCATTTCTCAAATTTCTTCTGGAGCCTACAAAGACAACATGGCTTTTTAAAAAAGACACAAGTCAACACAAGGATAGGGTCATGCTGCAATTTAATTTCTGTATCTTTCAAGCTGTCATATTTGCCTTTTTTAAAAGAAACATTTCTGCTACAACATTAATTCAACAAATTTGCGGCACAAAACAAGGAGCTCCACAATTCATTCCACTCCCCTGTCCTTTATCCATAACTCTAAAAATGTTTGTTTGCCCTTCAGGTATTTATCTAATTCTCTTTTGAATGGTATTACTGAATCTACTTCATCACCGCTTCAAGCATTGCATTCCATATTCAGAATTGCACATTGTTCAACAAAAAAAAAAGCTTCCTCATGTCACATTTGGCTCTTTTGCCAATCACCTTCAGTCTGTGCCTTCTGGCCACCATTCCCTCTGCTACTGGACGAGCAAGGAGGGTAAAATTGGACTGCACTCAAAAAATGGGTGCAGGGAACAAAAACAACTAATTGTACAACATAGCAGAGAAATGGTCCAAGGCTTTCAGATACAACGTTGGAGACCTTGGTGCCAGAGGCAGACAGGAGTCAATGGACCCTCCAGAGAAAGTTTGAACAGACAAAGCCAGAGGAGCAGTTGACCATGGAGATCAATGCCAGCAGTCTGTGTTGTATCTTTACATCTGTTTGAACACCTTTAAACATTAACAATCTCTATCAAAAATGACTTACATTACATATTTACAGCTATTCACTCTCCTAGCCAGAGCATTATCCACTCCTTTGTTTGTCCAATTGTTCTTCCCTCTCTTTGGCTCTATTCCCACTTATCATTTTTCCTTACCCCCTCCCCTCACCCTATCTTCTGCATATAAAACATTTTCCTAGCTACCATCAATTCTGAGGAAGGGTCACTGGACCCGAAATATTAATTCTGAATTCTCTCCATAAATGCTGCCAGAGCTGCTGAGCTTTTCCAGCAATTTCTGTTTTTGCCACACATTTATAGCTTCACCTCACCCTCACACCTGGCCCTACTGCAAATCTCATACCGACATCTCACAGCTTATTTACATTACACCACAATGATAGTACTATCATCTGAACACTTTTGACAACACTTGCTTACACACTTCCCTCTCTCTTGCAGGGAAAAGTGACAAAACCTGAAAAAGCACTCCTAACTGGCATGGACAGGCAAGGATACATGTTCTGAACTCCATGGAGCAGATGGTGCTTGCTATCATTGGAATGGCTGTGACTGAAATGTGATGATGACAGCTTCATAGCCGGTGATGCAGAAGGAAGAAGTGACAGAGGAAGAATATACCAACAAAACTGAAACACCATCTGTCCTATCAAATGCCTATAAAAGATTCCATGACATTATTATAACATCTCTGAAATTATGGACACTATTTAGACCTTAAACAACATTGCAAAAATAAATTATCTTCTCATGACCACATTGTTGTTTGTGGGAGCATACTATGTGCATAACAGTGACTATAGTTCAAAAGTATTTCATTGCTTGTGAAGCACTTTTGAATATTGACGTCATAAAACGCACTATATAACTGCAAGTCTTTCTTTCACAGCCACTAGTATCGATACCAACACTGCACATACATTGAAAGGCAGCATCTTTGCATGTTGGGACACGAGGCATGAGTTGACTGCAGTCAGGGTAGGGTGAAAGGATAGTGCATTTGCTTGCTCACCAGAGGACAGGGTCTGCTGCAGAAATCACAGATGAGAAACTTAAATCATAAAATCTTGACAATGCTGAACCAGGCCATTCGGCCTATTGAGTCTGCATTGACCTTCCAAAGAGCATCCCACCCACACCCAGCCCTCTACTATATCCCCATAACCCCACATTTACCATGGCTTATCTGCTTGGCATGCACATCCTTGGACACTATGGTTAATTTAACATGGCCAATCCACCTAATCTGCACCTAACCTAATCTTTGGACTGTGGGAGGAAACCAAAGTACCTGGAGGAAACCCACGTAGACACACAGAGAACATGTAAACTCCACACAGATAGTCAGCCAAGGCTGAAATCAAACCTGGGTCCCTGGCACTGCAAGGCAGCAGTGCTAACTACTGAGCCACCATGCCAATGTGTATCAGTATGTATTGAAAAGAACAGTGGTCCTAATATTAATCCCTGTAGAACATCTCTGTATACATCCCTCAAGTTGGAGAAATGACTGCTCATCACTACACTCTATTTTCTGTTCCTTACCAAATCTGTATCCTAAGTTGCCATTGTTCATTCAATCCTATAGACTTAATTTTTTCTAACAGAACTATTTACCTGACTTTTTAAACTGATATCTATTCAAAGTCTATTTGCACAACTCTAATTACATCACCCTCTTCAACCCTCTCGGTTACTATCAAAGAACCTATTCAAGTCAAACAAAAACAAGTTTCTTGAACATATCTGAGCTGATTTTCAAGTGTCAACTAACTTTTTAACTGCTGTGTCCGAGAAGTTCCCTTCCATTTACATTAGGTTGACTGAATTATAATTCAGAGATTTCTCCCCCAGGCTTTTTAAAACACAGCTGTAAAAATTGTAATCCTCCAATCCTCTTGCACCAATCCCATTATCGTGGCAAAATTGAAAGATATGACTGGGGCCTTGGCAATTTCCACCTTTTGTTTTCTTTAGTAACATACGATGTTTCCCATCCTGACCAAGAGACATTTTTAGATTGAGGATTGCCGACCTTCTCTGTCCTTCCTCTCTATCTATTTTTATCCTATTCAATATCACTACTGCCTCATCTTTTATTATGGCATTAGCAGGATCCTTTTCTCTACTGAGGTAGATTGAGTACTCACTTAGTATCTCAGCCATCTCTTCTGCCTCTGCAGGAGATACCCTTCTAGACGACTGATTGGCTCAACAATTCCTTTGACTCTCTTTTTTCCTTAACTAATATTTTATAAAATACCTTGAATTTTTTTCAAAATATCAGTTAAAATCCATTCTCACATTCTGTCTTTGCCCCTTTTTTTTCCTCTTATGACATCTATTCTGAACTTTATATATTTGGCTTGGTACTCGACTGTATTATTAACCTTACAATTGTCAAAAACGTTTTCCTGCCTTATTTCAACGTTCAGTTATCTAGCTTTGGTTGCTTGCCCTCAACCATGCTGCTTCTTTAGAATGTGGCTGAACCAGTGGAACACCAATGTCCTTGGACAAAGTGGGGCTGGTGGTATTGGAGGCACCATTATTAAAAAGTTTGTTGATGAGAAGTGAGTATCACTGGCAAGTCCAGAATTTGTGGCCTACGCCTAATTGTCCTCAAGGTAAAGGGTAGCAACCTTTTTGACAGCTGCAGTCCATTTGGTGTTGGTACACCCACAATGCTGTCAGGGAAGGTTTTCCAGGACTTTAACTCAGCAACAATGAAGGAATGACAATGTAGCTGGCAGGATACCGCTTAGCTTGGATGGGAACATACATGTGGTTGTGTTTCCACAGGTTTTCTTCTAGTTAGTAGGGAACACAGCTTTGGAATGTGCTACTGAAGGCGCCTTGGTGAATTACTGCAGAGTGTTTGTAGATGGAATAAAAATTGCAGCTATTGTGCACCAGTATTGGAGGGAGTGAATATTTAAAATAATGGTTGGCATTGTACTTCTGGAGTGTTTTTAGAGCCGCTCTTGAGTTGAGTAGCTCTAAAGCTAAGAGAAACTCCTCCTGGCTCCACATTAAGGCAGGCTATTAAAAAAAAAACTTACTCCTTCTCTATAACCTTCTTTGGTCCCTATAAGAACAACTGGTCTTGTTGCTATTGATCAGGAAGAAGAGTTTTTGTGGGATTTCGCAAAATTCTGAGCAGGCTTTAGATCTCCAGCTAGCATACTGAGGGCATCTAACATTTGTTTCAGGCTAGCTCTGGAGCCACTTGGAAATTGTTAGGTGTTAATTTGGTACTTGGTGCACTTCTGATCTGGGAAAGAAGGAATTGTATTGAGGTGCAGAAAAGTGAAACAGGAAATTCATCACTCCATGCATTGTACCCTCCAGAACAGATGCAAAAGAACCAATTTCTCTCTAATCTCTACTTTTTCCAATATTCTGAGAATAACTCACTTTGTGCAAATGCTTCCTGTACATCTCCTCCAACCCCTGTCAGTGAATCCTGAGGTGTATGGGTTGGAGTTGAACAGGCAGAGGTTGATCTGATAGGCATTGGTATAGGAACAGACCGGCTAATTGTGTGACTTGGTGAAGAGCGAGGGGATCCTGCCCCCTGAGTCTGAAAACAATAAAAAAAATTGTTACCACACATATATCTATTTTACAGAAGCCATCTTTTGGGTAACATTGCAAAACTACTTTTTGAATCAGTTTCACAAGAAGCAGGAACATCCCTTCGCCATGAACATACAGTATAAGTTGACCTTACTACATTTTTTTCAAATTGATCTACTTTAAAACTGGAGAAAGAGAACAATGTATATAGTTTACGCAGTGATTAGATCAGCAGTCCAGTCCAGTCAGGGAGCAGAAGCCAGTGTAATAAAAAATTTCACAATGCACAGTTTGTATTTTCAACCTTAAAATACAAAGGTACCTCTTCAAACTGCTCTTTCTGTTTTGAAAACAGTCTTCCTGCTGATCATGTATCGACAATAGCATTAGATAGGAAATTCCAGGATTTTGATCCAATATTAATAGACGAACAATGATGCATGCTGATGGCAGGGTAATACATGATATGGAGGTGATGTTATTCCCAGGACGGCTGCTGTTATTCGTCAAAGTGGAAGAGATTATGATGGTATAGGATGTGCATATTGAGTAAACCAGGCAGTGCAATCTGTCACATATTGCCAGATAGGATGGCCATTAAATCAAAGTGGGTGCCAATCAAGTCACCTATTTTGTCACAGATAGTATTCAGTTTCTGAGTGTTATAGAATCATAGAATCCCTACAGTGTGGAAGCAGGCCATTCAGTCCATCGAGTCCACACTGACCCTCTGAACAGCATCCCACACATACACCCGCTACCCTATCCCTGCATTTCCCACACCAGACACTATGGGCAATTTAGCATGGCCAATCCACCTAACCTGTACATCTTTGGACTGTGGGAGGAAACTGGAGCACCCATAGGAAACCTACACAGGGAGAAGGTGCAAACTCCACACAGACAGTTGGCCAAGGTTGGAATCGAACTCTGGTGCTGTGAGGCAGCACTGCTAACCACTGAGCCACCATCTGCTATTACTGTTGTTGCAGGTGCATACAGTTAGTGGTAAGTATTCTATCACAGTCCTGATTTAAGTCATGCAGATATTTGGGAGGATTTGAGGGATCAGAAGGTCAAATAATTGCTGCAGAATTGTTGCTTTTGTACTCTGTTTATAATGAACATTTTGATATGGCTGGTGTTGATAAAATCTGGTTAATGGTGACCGCCATACTACCCTCAAGGTAATGATAGGGGAATTTGACAATGGTAGCACATTGTGTGCCCCTATGAAATACCAATTTGCCACTTGAGGATTTGTACCAAGTTTCACTTTGGCATTGCAGACACTGCTACAAAAAGTTCAAAATTCAAACCAATACAGGTAAGGTAGAACAATGGCATTTTCAGCTTTGTATCCTTGGTCACCTTCGATATCAATACTGCATCCTTAAAGTAACATTTGCACAAGTACCCTTTCATAATTCACACTAGTTAAGGGTCTAATCGCTCAGTCCCTTGTAATATGTTGAGATAGAGGTCTGCGAACAGCTCTAGAGTTCATCAAAAAAACCTAGCATTGGACTTTTACAGCTGACTGACTGTGAAAGTACAAGAATCTCTAGAAATCAGAGTTCAGTCCAAGAAAAACAAACAGTGAAATTTCACAGCTGACCTTGGAGAGACCCATTATCAGAAGTACTCACAGCTGGAGTGTCAGCATTTCATTAATCAGCTAAGCGTTTGTTTTTAAGACTTACAAAACGTATAAATCTTGATTTTTTTTGTAAATATATAAATGTGAGTTGGATGAGTGTTTTAAAGCTTTACAGAGACCTGTCTCTTAATCATTTTTTTTTAATTATAAAACTTAAGTATAATCCTAGACCAGTATTTTTAGAGCAGTAAGACTGTTCTATTTTCTGGATCTGTATAAATAAAGTGCAGAGATGGCCTTTAGTAGAATGATGTGCTTTTCCTGTTGATCTGGGAGACCAGGGAGAATTTCAATGTTCCTGTTGATTGTGTCTGCAGGAAGTGTTTTTGATTGCGAATCCTGTCGGATCGCATAGATCAGTTGGAGTGGCAGTAAAAGACAATGAGGAATTTACAGGCATGAGGGTGTATGATGGATTCAGTTTCAGGAAGGTAGAAAAACCACAGATACAGTCAGGTCCATGGGTTACCTCTTGGAAAGGTAGGAAAGGGAGGCAGGTAGTGCAGGAGTCTTCTGTGGCTATCCTATCTCAAACAAGTATGGTCATTTGGAAAATGTAGGGGTGATGGACTCTCAGGGGAATGCAGCAGTGACAGCCAGGTTTATGGTACCGAGACTGGCTCGAGTAATGAGGGATATGTCAAGTTCCAAGCGATCGATTATGAAAGGGGACTCTCTAGTCAGACGCACAAACAGACATCAGAATGCCTCCCTGATGCCAGGGCGTAGAATATTGTCAAAAGGGGAGGGTGACGAGCAGGAGATCGTTCCACACATTGGTACCAATGATATTTGAAGAGAAAGGGACAAGGTTCTAAAGAGAGAAATAGGAAGTTAGGCCGGAGATTAAAAAGTAGGTCCTCAAGGGTAGTAATTTCTGGATTACTCCCAGTGCCACATGCTACTGAGAGTAGGAATAGGAGGACAGAGCAGATTAATGCATGGCTGAGAATGCAAGGGGCAGGGATTCACATTTTTGGATCATTGGAATATCTTTTGGGGTAGAAGTGACCTGTATAAAAAGGACGGCTCAGGAGGCTTTAAACTAGCGGGTGGAGGTTCAGGTGGGATGCAAAGAGATAGTGAGAAAAGAGATAAGTCTGAGGCTGGTACAGTTGAGAAGAGGAGCAAGTCAAATAGTCAAGGCAGACAAGAGCAAGGCAGACAACTGGCAACTTAAATGTTCCAGGGTATAGATGCTATAGGAATGACAGGAAGAGGGTCAAGAGCAGGGGTAGAGGTGTTTTTGGTTAGGGATAACATTACGGCTGTGTTTAGGGAGGATACTCCTGGAAGTATGTCTAATGAAATTATTTGGGTGCAACTGAGAAACAAGAAAGGGATTATTATCTTACTGGGATTACAATGTAGGACCCCCAAAAGTTACTGGGAAATTGAGAAGCCAATCTGTAAGATCTCAGACATCGGTAAGAATGATAGGGTTGTAATGGTAGGAGATTTTCACTTTCCAAAAATAGACTGGAACTGCCATTGTGTTAATGGCTTGGATGGAGAGGAGTTTGTTAAGTGTGCAAACGAAAATTTTCTTATTCAACATATGGATGAACCTACTAGAGAACAAGCAAAACTTAACCTTCTCTTGGGAAATAAAGCAGGGCAGTGGCTAAGGTGTCAGTGGAGACTGCTATTCAGGTCGGTGATCATAATTCTATTAGTTTCGAAATATTTATGTAAAAGGATAGACCAGACCTAAAAGTTAAAGTTCTAAATTGGAATAAGGCCAATTGTGATAGTATTACACAAGAAGTTATACAAGTTGATTGGGAGAGGCTATTCGCAGGTAAAGGGGCAGTTGGAAAGTGGGAGGTCTTCAAAAATGAGATAATGAGAGTCCAGAGGTATTATGTTCTTATTAGGGTGAAGGGCAAAGCTGATAGATGTAGGGAATGCTGGATGACTAGAGAAAATGAGGCTCTGGTTAAGAAAAAAAAAAGGAAGCATACGTCATGTATAGACAGCTGGGATCAAGTGAATCCCTCGAGGAATATTAGGGCAGCATGAGGATACTCAAGACGGAAATCAGGAGGGCAAAAATGGAACATGAAATAGCTTTGGCAAATAGGGCTAAGGAGAATCCAAAGAGATTCTACAAATATGTTAAGGGCAAAAAAGTAACTGGGGAGAGAACAGGGCCTCTCAAAGATCAACAAGGCCATCTATGTGTGGAACCGCAGGAGATGGGTAAGATACTAAACAAGTATTTTGCATCAGTATTTACTGTGGAGAAGGCTATGGAGGCTAGTGAACTTGGAGAAACAAACAGCGATATCTTGAAAAGTGCCCATATTACAGAGGACAAGATGCTGGACATGTTAAAACACATAAAAGTGGATAAATCTCCAGGATCTGATCAGATGTATCCCAGAACTTTGTGGGAAGCTAGGGAAGTGACTACAGGGCCCTTGTTGAGCTATTTGTATCATCAATAGCCATGGGTGAGGAGCCAGAAGACTGGAGGTTGGCTAATGTGGTGCCATTATTTCAGAAAGTGGTAAGGAAAAGCCAGTGAAATACAGACTAGTGAGCCTCATCAAGGTATTCTGAGATCACTGTCCACTACACCACCAATTTTGGTGTCAGACTATAGAGATGTATAGCGTGGAAACAGACCCTTCGGTCCAACTCATCCACCTGCAACCTCGCTAATCATTCCTCCTATATTCGCATCCAAATTATTTACATAAATGACAAAAAGCAGTGGACCTGGCTCCACTGCTGGTGGGCAAGTTGTTGGAGGGAATTCCAAGGGACAAGATCTACATGTATTTGGAAAGGCAAGGACTGATTAGGGATAGTCAACGTCACTTTATGCATGGGAAATAATGTCTCACTAACTTAGTTTTTTGAAGAAGTGACAAAGAAGATTAATGAAGGCAGGGTGGTGGACTTTGATTGTATGGTCTTCAGCAAGGCGTTTGACAAGGTTCTACATGGTAGACTGGTTAGCAAGGTTAGATCACATGGAATCCAGGGAGAACTAGCTATTTGTATACAAAATGGGCTTGAAGGAGTCAGAGGGTGATGGAGGGTTGTCTTTTGGAGTGGAGGCCTGTGACCAGTGGTGTACTGCAAGGATCGGAGCCAGGTCCACTGCTTTTTGTCATTTATATAAATAATTTGGATGCGAATATAGGAGGAATGATTAGCGAGGTTGCAGGTGGATGAGTTGGACCGAAGGGTCTGTTTCCACGCTATACATCTCTATAGTCTGACACCAAAATTGGTGGTGTAGTGGACAGTGATCTCAGAATACCTTGATTAGATGGGCAAATGGGCTGAGGAGTGGCAGATGGAATTTAATTTAGATAAATGTGTGGTGTTAG